CCCCGGCAGCGACCATTTCCCTCGGTCGAGCTCCCCCCGTGCAAGGACACTCCAGAGTGCTTCATGCATAGTTTTGCGCTCCCTACTGACTGTCCGTACATCCATTAAAAAAGGCTTCAGCTGCATTCCCACATCACCAGTTTTTATTTCCATCAGCAACGCACTCTGCACAGGGAGGTTCTGGAGTCTTCCTCTCCAGAGACATTCCAAACCCACCTGGACGTGTTCTTGTGTCATCTGCTCGAGGTGACCCTGCCTTGACAGGGTGTTGGACTGGATGTTTCCCGAGGTCCCTTCCAACCTTAACAATCTGTGGTTCTGTGATATTCTTGAGGGGCACAGACTGAACAGGCGTGTCAGAGGTTTGGTAATCACAATTTTATTTATTCAAACTAGACAGTGCTAATATGGAAAGTACCATGTTTTACAGCAGTCACCGTGCCCAACTCTGGAAACAGGCATATTACATCAGGACAGCAGCTACAAATACCTGGCAGAAGTTTATAGAAAAGATTTTATACAGAGAAGACATGGGCAGTCTGTTATTTTATCATTTATCTAAGCAGTCACACAGTGACATCAATTATATCTTACACCTCTCTGTACATCAAGAGAAAAAAATACACTGTAGAGAAGCCAAATCTCAGTGATTTGACATCTTCCATGTTGTCAATTTTTCCTCATCCCCCATAGACAAATTGCAGGGGTTGCACAGTACCATGAAAATAAATATATGTTACAAAAGCTTCCAGTTATGCATTGGATTGTCAAACTGTGGGGAGAAAAACAACAACAGAAAAAAAAAACCCCAAGAGGCCAAGTCTGTTCATTTAGGGTTTAAGAGACAAAAAACCCACAGAATAAATGTGCTAGGACTCAAAGGAGACTTTCTGATTTCACTGGACCAAGGCCTAGATAGGCAAACAAGCCAGTCAAAAAGGTAATTAAAAAATCCCCTTGGAAATATCAAACTAAAATTAATTATTTCAAAAATGCCTTGGTTATAGCTAACCAGTTCATCTATGACTTTCACTAGACATTGAAAGGAAGGAAGCTATGATGGTTTGAATGAGATGCTTTGCTGAATATTGTCTTTAGGCTCAGGCTGCCTTTTGGACTTACACTATAAAACATGGAAGGAGTTTAAAAAATGCTACTTTTTTATTAACTACAAAACAGGAACAGGAACTCCATAGCATCAGATAGGATGGGTTTTAAACCATTAAGAGAAGTAGCAGAGAGAAAGGTTTAGCCTTAGAGGTTTGAGTTTACTTTGCATCTAACAAATGTAGCCATGTACAGGTATAACTCTTACAAACACATGACCTGATCCTGCAGCCCTTATTCCTCAGAAGGCAACAAATGCCAAAACTCATGAAGATGGCCTTTTTCTTTTAAAAAGTCAGCAAACTGGACATGAAGCACAAATTTACATGCAGCACTGCATGACAACTACAGAAAGATAATTTCTAAATCTGCAATGTACTTGCAGCATGTACTTCAGCATGTAGTCAATCTATACATACAAAAAGAGGCTACCAATGTCACTGTGTCTTCAAATTGCAAGTTATGTCTAATGGTTTACTGTAGATGCACAGCAAACTCATCTTTTCTTGATAAATAAAGAAACTGCTGATCAGCACAGTGAGGAGAAGTATCTAGATCAAGGTGAATGGCCAAGCAAATGCAGAGGCATTCTATGCAGAATTTATTTTCTCTGCTTTAACAGCAGCTTCAATCTCTTCCATGATTGGCACCGGTCCTGCATAGTTATTAGTTTCAATAGCTTCTAATTTCTCCTGATAATCAGTGGGCAAGCCATTCTGTTTTGCACCCATGCAGATAACCTATAATTAAAATAGAAAAAAAAAGCCTTCAGTAATAAAAAGGACAGACTCCTCCAAACAATCACTTGAGCAGGAGGAACCATTTAAGTTACCCAGAGAATTTACCTCAAATAGAGCTATTTGTACCTAAGGTTAGCCAAAGGCTTCTGGGAGACCAGAACAGCATGAACAAAATTACTCTGAAAAGGCTTTTAACTACCCCTGAGATTCTGATGTGTTACTGAAGCACACAAGCCTCTGTAATTAAGCTGTTATTCAGTTCTTTCTTCCAGACAGGATGATAACTTCAATAATATATGCTGCTTCTCACTCAGGTGTGACACTAAAGTTGGCTGAGAATTTAAAAAGTGGTTATTTTTAAAACTAAGCTGTCCAAAGGACAACAACAAGTACCTATTCAGGGTACAGGAATAGGAGAAACAGACACTTAACTCAGTCAAAAAGCACAGATTCCTTAGTTTGTTACTGCAGCTTTCCTTCCATACATAAAATAAACTGAAGTATTGGTGCAGAGGAAAGATTGACAGTGAGAGGAGAAGGGGAAGTTGTAGGAACACAGCTTGAAGGAGACACCAGCAAGGCTGCATATAGAAATGAACATTCTAAATAGGCTTTCATGCATTTAATGGCATGCATTTCAAGGATGAGGTGTCTAGAAAGAATGAATTTTGCCACAAAAAGTACGTAACAGTAGATGGATGTAGCTCAATCACTGTGTGCTAATGCAGTCATCTTTTAAGTTTTTAGCTCTTCTGCCTGGTTAACTTAAAAAAAAAAAAAAAAACAAAGAAAAAGCTGGGGGCACAGGAGAAGAACAGAAATAACAACTGCTCCTGACAGGAGCAGGAGGGAATGATAAAGTTGCCAATAGTGGAGGTCTGCACTTTCAGCATACCAATGAGAGCTGACACACAGCAGCAGACTATGTATTAGCTCCCTGAAAAGCCCTAAAGACCTGCCTTGCCACGAGGTGGGTTGGCAGGGAAGAGGTTTGTGGAAGAGCAAAGCCTGCTTTCTAAGCAAGCCCTCTCTTCAGCAGTCCCAGAGCAGCTGGCCTTAGCTGTGCTCCTGCAAGTCAGCTCAGAGGAGTGAGTTCCTCAGTCTGGAGAAGGCAGCACACCTGGGATTTAAGAGGCTCACTCCTGGTTTCTGCACTTCAGGTAGGAAAAGCCAGCTGCAGTGATATCTGTACACATCACACACAGCCACACCAGCGTGGCTGGGCCTGCCCAGATCTCACAGGCTGAGCAGGTCAGGCCTGCTGCGTGACTGGATCATGTGTCTCTGCAGAGTCAGTGTTGCAGAACAGTGTTGCAACACTTGTGCCTCAGCAGCCATCAAGGGGGAACCCTGCCGTGCTCTGCAATGCTGCTGCAGCCCTGTGATGTACTGGTGATGTGTCTGGTAAAAGGTGACAGCTGCATCCTGCCGTGACAGCAAGTACTTACCGAGACAGAAAGGATAATCCACCTCCTGGAAACTACAAGCCAGGTGCTGCATTTTCCCCA